ATTTCCTGGTGACTCTCGCCTCCATCGGGGGCCTGGCGGCCCGCCTACAACTCTGGGCCTTCAAACTGGATTATGACAGCATGGAGCGGGTACCTGGGTCATGGGACGGGACAGGCAGTGGGACAAGTGAGCATGATGACCGTGTAGTCTGAATCCCTCATCTCCCCTACCAGGAAATTGCAGAGCCACTGTTCGACCTGAAAGTGGGCATGGAACAACTGGTGCAAAATGCCACCTTCCGCTGCATCCTGGCCACCCTGCTGGCTGTGGGCAACTTCCTCAATGGCTCCCAGGTGAGTTGAGAGCCTATGATGGTGGGGACTGGGACTCTGGAGCCAGCCAGGCCCAGGCCCAGGTTCAGACGGGATCCTTTCAGAGCAGCGGCTTTGAGCTGAGCTACCTGGAGAAGGTGTCAGAAGTGAAGGACACGGTGCGCCGACAGTCACTGCTGCACCATCTCTGCTCCCTGGTGCTCCAGACCCGACCTGATTCCTCTGACCTCTACTCAGAAATTCCTGCCCTGACCCGCTGTGCCAAGGTCAGCACCTGACAGAGGCTTGACTAAGGCTGGTCATGGCATGAGGGAGCACCACTTCTCTCCCTCTCTCTGAGTGGGCTGCCGGGCCAGGGCTTGCTCAGGCTCCAGGCTTGTGTGGGCTCTGTCTTCTGCCAGAAACACTCTTCTTTTGGCCTGGCTACACCTACTCAGTTTGGGGTCTGTTTAGCTGCCACTTATCCCAAGAAGGGGCTTCCCTGGTGGCTCAGATGGTAAAGAATTTGCCTGAAATGCAGGAAACCCAGGTTTGATCCCTGGGTTGGGAAGATCCCCTGGAGGAAGGAATAGCAACCCACTCCAGTATTCTTACCTGGAGAATTCCATGGGCAGAGGAGGCTGGTGGGCTACAGTCCACGGGGTCAAAAAGAGTTAGACATGACTGAGCAGCTAACACTTTCACTATCCCAAGAAACCTCTGTTCCCTACTGTATCACATGGACTTGCTGGAATCTTGCACGAGACTGTGAGCTTTTGGAGGGTGGGGGTTGGATCTGCTGTTTGCTCAGGGCCCAGGCTGACCATCCCAGCACAGAGGCAACCTCAGGCAGTGTCTTTCTGTGGGGGGACTGCATGTTACCCCCTGCTTTTCCAGGTGGACTTTGAGCAGCTGACTGAGAACCTGGGGCAGCTGGAGCGCCGGAGCCGGGCAGCTGAAGACAGCCTGCGGAGCCTGGCCAAGCACGAGCTGGCTCCAGCCCTGCGTGCCCGCCTCACCCACTTCCTGGCTCACTGTACCCGCCGTGTTGCCATGCTGAGGGTCGTGCACCGTCGTGTCTGCAACAGGTGGGGGCACTGCAGACAGAGGGGGGACCGCCACCACCATCCCTCAGACCCCAAACAGGACTCAGCCCTCCTCTCCATTCTACACCTAGATTCCATGCCTTCCTGCTGTACCTGGGGTACACGGCGGAGGCAGCCCGTGAGGTTCGCATCATGCAGTTCTGCCACACGCTGCGGGAGTTCGCACTGGAGTATCGGACCTGCCGGGACCGGGTGCTGCAACAGCAGCAGAAGCGGGCCACGTACCGTGAGCGCAACAAGACCCGGGGACGTATGATCACCGAGGTGGGTGTGCCTTCCGGTCTTGACTGCCACCCCTGTGGTTTTCTTCTACTCCCCATTCACCCCCTTTCCCCTCTCCAGACAGAGAAGTTCTCGGGTGTGGCTGGGGAAACCCCCAGCAAGCCATCTGTCCCTGTGGCTGTGAGCAGTGGGCCGGAAGAAGGTGATGCTGATAGTCACGCCACCATGAAGAGTCTGCTGGCCAGCAAGCCTGAGGTTGCCACACATGGCCGTCGCAGCAGAGGTGGGACCAGTGGCTGCTGGGGGCAGTGGGCTCTGGGGCCACTCTGGTCTGACCTTTTTACCTGGCTCTCACAGGCATGGTCCAGAGCAGCTCCCCAGTCATGCCTACAGCAGTGGGGCCATCCACTGTACCCCCAGAAGAATCTCCAGGCTCCAGTTTACCCAGTGACACTTCAGATGAGATCATGGACCTGCTGGTGCAGTCAGTGACCAAGAGCAGCCCCCGTGCCTTAGCTGCTAGGGAACGCAAGCGTTCCCGTGGCAACCGCAAGTCTTGTGAGTATTCCCCACATGCCCACTGCCCACCTTAACCCCATCAAGCCCCACCAACCCTGCTCTGTCTTGCAGTGAGGCGGACACTGAAGAGCGGGCTTGGAGAGGACCTGGTACAGGCACTTGGACTGAGCAAGGGTCCTGGCCTGGAAGTGTGAAGGTGCTGCCTCCAGGACACCTATCTGGGCCCCAGCCTGCAGTGCAGGAGACTATAGTGAGGAGGCACCAGAGCAGAATTCTGGGCCTCTTCTCAACTCAAGGGCCACTCTGTGCCCGTGGCCAGTGCCGTGAGCAGTATTAGCTGTGTATGCCTGTGTGGGTGTGCGTGTGCATGTGTGAGCTCCCTGGATGCTGGAGCATAATAAAGTTTTCCTAGCCAGTCAAGAGCCTTTTTCTTCCTTCAGGGTACCCACGACGCTGGCCCACAGCAGAAAAGAAAATCCCAAAGAACTGGCTGTTCCTGCCCTAGCTCTCTCATTATCACCCACAAAGCCATTAGCCACATTATAAGCCATTTATTCAACAATCCTATACCCTAGACCACTTTTGGCCCCTGGACTAGGCCCTCACTGCTCCTGGCATGGGGACCACACAGCCTGATAAGAGCCACCCAGGGCTCAGAAACCTGGGGCCACAATGTCAGTGGCTATAACCGCTTCATCTGCCGCCGCTCCTGTCGGCGCTGCCGTTTCTCATTGTGCTCTGGCACTGGGGCGCCACTGTCCGCTGTGAACCAGGGGCCCAGGACATTGACCCACAGGAGGTAAAGAGCTCTGCCTGGAGCCTAGGAGAAAAAAGGAAGCTTGAAGCCAGGTACAGGAAATGAAAGAAGAGAAGGCTTAGATGCGCCAGCTCCTCCTCGGGAGTCCCACAACCCACATACCAGGAGCCAGAAGGACCAGATGTAGAGGGAGAAGCAGCTGAGCACCTGCACGATAGCTGTCAGTAGGATCACATCTTTAAGGTGCCTGTGGAGAGAAGGGAAGCTGCAAGGGCCAAAAATAGTACCCGGGGAATTCCCTGGTGGTCCAGCGGTTTAGGATTCCATGCTTTCACTGCTGAAGGCCTGGGTTCAATCCCTGGTTGGGGAACTAAGATCCCACAAGATGCGCAGCAGAGCCAAAAATTTTTACATAAAACAAAAATAAGAGATGGGCCCTAGTTCAACTCCCTTCCACCCTCTTCAAGTTGCAGGCAGCTGTGGGTCTTGGGCTATCTGGGCCCCAGCACCCCAGCCCTGGCGCTGCTCACCTGGGCTGACAGCGGGGGACACTCACTCTGCCATGCCCTGCTCCATGTTGAGATCCATTCCACCATCCACCAGGGCCCCATCCTCAGAGAAGGCTGCCCTTGCCATCGAGCTCATAGAGTGGTAGCTGGCCCCATATACTGCCAGACTAAAGACCAGGGCCATCTGTGGAATAAGAATGGGGGTGTTAAAAGGGCAGCCACTGACCCTATGGGCTTACCCACTTCGCAGGATGGGGGACACTTACCCAGGCCCAAAATGAGGCAGATGAGTAGAAAAAGACCAAGGTCACAAGACAGTAAATGGCCTGTAAGCAGACACAGGATCAGGCTAGGATCAAAAGCTTACTAAACCATGGACCTTCCTTGACTTTGACTCTAGACCAGGTGATGAAAGGAGACAAGTCGTTTCTTACAAGGTTGGGGGAAGAGATCTGCTCCCAGAATATCCAGACACCCCTGACACAGGAAAGAAGCCCCTGTGCATTTAGGATGGGAAAGGCTCAGGTTCATTTGAGACTCACACCCTCATTTTGCTTTTGTTTTTCATTTTGACTATTCAGCACTTTCTCTGCACCAGGATTCTTTCTCATTTATTTGGCTGCACTCGGTCTTAAGTGTAGCATATGGGATCTAGGGAGTCTTAGACACTGGACCACCAGGGAAGTCTCTCTCCTTTATGTTTAACTGGAGTTTTCTTCTGGAGTTTTGGCTGTCACACACCCCCACCACTCTACCCCACCAAACAGAGCTGAGGACTATGGAACCTTGGGTGGGCAAGGAACCAAGGAGGGAGGCACTTACATTAGCCCCCAGTATGATTCGCAGGTAGAACTTCAGGGTCTCTTTGTTCTCCTCAAATATCTGCTTCTTCCCTCTCGTGCCCACTTTTCCTTTGGGCTGCAGAGAGATAATGAGATACCATCAGAACCCACATCAGTCAGGACCTGCCTTAGCCTCCCCACCATTCCGGTTAGCTGAATGGGCTTGACTGGCGTCCCTCTCCGGCCTCTACTGAAGTAAACCCGCTCGGGGCTGACACTATCCTGCCTCAAGCCCCTCAGATCTCTAGCTAGTTACTGTTTGATATCGACGCCCATCGCCCCTCAGGCCCCTCGATCTCTGCAGCCCTGGTACTGTCTGCTACAGACGCCCAGCTCTCTCTGGCACCAGCTCTGGTACGGTCCTGGATGGCCACTGGATGGCGCCCCCCTCCAGCGAAGGTATATCGACGCCCATCGCCCCTCAGGCCCCTCGATCTCTGCAGCCCTGGTACTGTCTGCTACAGACGCCCAGCTCTCTCTGGCACCAGCTCTGGTATGGTCCTGGATGGCCACTGGATGGCGCCCCCCTCCAGCGAAGGTGGGGGGGGGCGCTGGATTGACCTATTTCCCTTGAAGCTCTTCTTCTGATTTCAGTCGCCCGATCCCGGGAGCGCTTTGCCATGCGGACCACGCCCTACTCGCCCTCCTTACCGCCATAGTGAGACGCAAATACCCAGCCAAGGAAAGAAGGGAGAGCGACCAAAACCGCACTCAGTAGGTACCACATCGGCAGCACAGACACTTCCGGTGCAGATCCAATACGTCACACCTGGGACGGAAGTTGTAGGTCCACTTCCTTCCCAAGCCCCGCCGTCCAGAGTCGGTGGGACTACGCTTCCCAGAAAGCCTTGCGCGGGGGCGGAGGCAGCAGGGATGCGATGGCGGAGTCGCTGCCGCTGGAGGTGAGAGGAGGCTGCCCTCAGGCCTAGCTCGGGACAGGCCCCGCCTTCGGGGTCCCAGGCTGTGGGGAGGGGCTGTCAGACAGCTCTCCCGGACCCGCCAGTCTGGCGGAAACAACCCGGCCGGGAGATCCCTGGACCTGCAGGCTATGGGTAACGGCCCCGCCGCCTTTGGGCCACTCTATCCCCTTACCTTGGGGGACCATCCTCTCCTTCCCCATCGGCCCCAGGAGATAGCTGCTGTCACCTCAGCGAGGACAGGGCCTCTCTGCCTACCCCTGATCTCTTGAGATGGTCGTCCCTCCCCCTCAGTTCTGGAAGATGTCCGCTGCATCCCATCAGCCCCGAAGGGTAACCGATCTTACCCCCATTTGTCCCTTGGAATGGTCGCTCCATTCCCTTCCCTTCGAGAGACTGCTGCCCCTTCCCATCAACTTCGGGCATGGTCTCTGAGTTCCCTCACCGAGGACAGGCCTGCTCCCCACTTCCTCAGCCCCTAGTGATGGCCATCCCTGCCTCCTTCACCTTCATCTTTCATGAGATGTTTGCTCCCTCTACTTAAACTGGAGGTAGATCACTCTGCCGCTGTTGTCCCGAGACAGATAAGTTTTGTCCCAGTGGCCTCTTGGGATGGCCTCTCCATCCTGTTTGCCCAGAAAGTTGGCAGACCCCTCCCACTGCCCAAGAGAGACAGGGCACCCTTTCCCCATCGGCCTTGGAATGATGTTCCACCTCCAATGAACCCCTGAGATGGCATCCTTTCCCCCTTCTGCCCCAGAGGATATCTGTCCCATCACCATGGATCACAAAGATGACCAGTCATATCTATAGTAGCTCCTTGGGATGGAGTTCCTGGGATGGCCACTCCACCCTTATCACTGCCTCTTCTGTTCCCTCTAGAAAGGCCTTCCCCCTTCTCAACTCAAACACTCATGCTTCCCCCTCTCAGTGAGGACAGGTTTGTTGCCCTCCTTTTGCTCTGGGGTTGGCTACTGAACCCCAGAAGACAGGATGACCACTATCTTACCTCAGCTCAGACAAGTTTTCCTGCCTCCTCTTGGGGATTGGAGCATGGTCAGTTTCAGTCCCCATCAAAGGTCTCTTCCCCAGGCCTAGCCTCCCTGGCCCAGAAGTTGTTCTCGCCAGTCATTCTCCTCTCGGTAATGATCTGTTTTATCTTCCCACCCATTCCTTGAGCAAATCTTTGGTGAAAAGAGAGGTAAAAGACTGTCCATTCTTATTTAATTCAATCCAGTAAGTACTGACTAAGTACCTTCTGTGTACTAGCAATCAGGGAAGGGAAGAAGAGACCAAGTGGGCTGGTGAGGGTCAAGCTTAAGGGCATTCCAGGAAAAAGGCCCACATTGGCAGAAGGAAATAAGAAAATCAACTTGCTGTGTTTGTAGGACACTGGGAAGACTGGCTTGTGGAAGCTCTGGGATCAGGGGTACAGTCAGGCATGGAGGCCTGGCAGTGCTGACTCAGGAGAAGAAATTTTGTCTTGAGGGTATTGGGGAACCCCAAAGGTTTTCATCAGGAATGCACTGAGACTGAAAGCTGTTTCTTAGGAAAATTAACCTTGTTGCAGTCTGTAGAATGATTAGCAAGGATGAACCTGGAGGCAAGGAGATCAGGTGGGAGATGGTGGAAGAAACCCTGGTCTGGGGTGAGGAAGATCTGGGCTACTAAGGTGGTAAGGTTTCAAAGGTAGAATTATTAATAACAGCAATCCAGGAACCATTTATGGACCATCTACTAGGTGTGAAGCATATTATATCTATTAAATTTATATATATATAAATTATAATTTGATCCCTGTCAGAAGACTGTGAGGGCAGCTACTAAAGACTCCTGCAATGCAGGAGACCTGTTTGATTCCTATGTTGGGAAGTTCCCCTGGAGAATGGAAAGGGTGCCCACTCCAGTATTCTTGGGCTTCCCTGGTGGCTCAGATAGTAAAGAATCCGCCTGCAATACGGGAGACCTGGGTTTGATCCCTGGTTGGGAAGATGCCCTGGAGGAGGGCATGGCACCCCACTCCAGTATTCTTGCCTGGGAGAATCCCCATGGACAGAGGAGCCTGGCGGGCTACAGTCCATGGGGTTGCAGAGTTGGACATGACTGAATGACTAAGCACAGCACATAAGACTGTGATCTAGATTTTTTTAATATCCCCACTTTACAGGTGTGGGTTGAGGTTCAGAGACATCACATATCTTGCCTGAGGTCACACAGCTAGGAACTGGTGGAGCTGGGATTTGAATGAGTCTTAAGTAAAGCCTATGCTTTATACCTGTATCTGGAGCAAGGGACAGACGAGCATGAAGAGTATAAAGTTTTATCAGGATCTTCAGGCAAGATGCTCTGTTGGGATTGAAGTTTGGGGGCTGGAAAGTTGGGAGGAGGGGCTGCTTTGGACTGCGGTGAAGGTGATGGTAAAACATTTGGATGAAGAATCCTGTGGACAGTTGGCAATACTAGACTAGCACATGAATGATAAAACAATATGGAATATTGAATTGTTGGTTATTCTTATAGAGGTAATTGTTAAAGCAATGCAAGTGAATTTATTATCCTAGAAAGTGAACAAATTGAAAGACTCAGGTCTGAGCCCTGGGAGCCACAGAAGAATCTAGAAACAGGGCAATTGGAGTGGTGAGTGGAGCCCTAGAAAACAGTGTCACAGAAGTCAAGGAGGGAAGATACCAGAAGAAAAGAATAGTTAATACCAGATTATTCTTGGTCTCACAGGCAGCTCCCTTCCCCAGTCCCTAATAAGTCCTCCACCCCCAGCCTCGTAGAGCATAGGTGGAGTGAGAGCCTTAGCCTACCAGGATGGGTCTTGCTGAGAATTGTAACAGCCGGCTGAGAAGCTGTGAAGAAGACTGAAAGAGTGCAGTCCCAGTGTAACTTCCTCAAGATCAGCACTTGCCTTGCTGTGTTCTAGATCCTATGCAAGACACTTTACCATGATATTTAACTGTCACAGCAACCCACTTAAATCTCACTACAACTGTCTTTTTATAGATAAGAAAAATAAGGCTCAGAGGGGTCAGTTGAGAGAATAAGGATCTAAACTAGGTTCATCTAGTCCCAGTGCCCAGGCCCTTTTTATCAAATTGAGCAGGAAGTTTGATTTTTATCAGAACAAACCTGCATCCAGATGGTGCTCAGCAAAGGTTTGTTCCCAGTAAAGATACGGGAGACTGGAGAGGACAAGTGAAGACTTTCTGAAGCTTAGGATCCAAGATGAGCTAGAAGCCAGTGCTCTAGTCCCCTCTGACCTACTGTGCTGCCAGACAGAGAAGATTTCAGAGGGCCCCACCAGCACTAACAGCCCCAATGCCCTGTCTTTTTCCCTCAGATGGTCACATATATTCTGAGCTTCCTGCCTCTGTCAGATCAGAAAGAGGCCTCCCTCGTGAGCCGGGCTTGGTACTGTGCAGCCCAGAATGCCCTTCGGGAGGTAAGGTGCCTACCCTCACCTAGCCCATTCTCAGTATGTCTCACTTCAGCTTGCTCGTGGCCCTACTCATACATCATCCATCCATTCATTCCTGCATATTTATTCATACATACTTGGCTCTGGGTCCAGTACTGGGACTCTACAGATGAACCAAACATATTCCCCTCCCCTGAGAAGCTCATAGTCTAGTGAAGGAAAAAGACAAATAAGTGAGTGATCATGATGTTGTGTGCTCAGGGCATTGGCATGAAGGGGGCCATGGGAACATTAAGGACATGGAAGGAGACTGGCAGCATCAGGGAAGGCTTCCTGAAGGAACAGGATGAGGAGCATGAAGGTTGGTCTTCAGGACTCAATAACCGCACAGGCGAAGGCATCAAGGTGTGAAATAGTTCAGGAAACGACCACCCAGGTTCGCTATGACTGGAACTTAGGTGTGTTGGAGAGAAGTGGTGGGAGATGAGGCTAGAAAGGGGTCAGAAAGCAAGACAGATGTGCCAGGTGGCATTGCTAGGGCTTTCTCCTGGTTATCATCATGGGTAACCAGGTAACCCATGGAACATTAAAGGAACATTAGGCAGGGGAGTGACATGCAGTGATTTATGTCTTAGACCTCCACAGTGCAGAGTGGACTGAGAGGTGATTCATAGGGAGACAACCCCCTAGGAGGTGAGTGCAGGCATTTGTGCTAGTTGGAAAGGCAAGCAGTGAGAGCCCTTTGTTTCAGTTTTGACTGTCACTGAGGTTGAACAATTTTCTCGTTAGTGGACCATTTATATTTCCCTCTTTTGTGTATTTCTGTTCCTTGTCTAATTATTGGGGTCTTAGTATTTTTCTTATTGATTTGTATGAACATTTTATACATTAAAGAAGTTAATCTTTTACATACTTACTGAAATATATTCCTCATATATTTGCCTTTTAAAATTTGATTTGTAGATATGTGTTGTTTATGAGATATACAGGGGTTAAATTTTTGGGTTGTTGACTCTGAACATTCTTTTCTTTATTTCTGCCATTGCTTTAGAGATACTTTGCCTCTTCGGAGATTTGATAAATATACACTCATATTTTGCTTTTTTTTTTTAAATTTCGATTTACTTCTTAGATCAGTTTTAGGTTCACAGCAAAATTGTTTTATGGCTTGAATTTATACACACACACACACACACACACACACATATATATTTGATGTAATTTATTTTGACTTATGCTGTAAGGTAAGGAGCTAAACTGATTAGTTTTCAAGTAGCCCAAGTACCATTTATGTATAATGGATTGGAAACCTCCTCTGTCACATTTTAAATGAGCGTTTAAGTAGGGTTGTTGTTGAGTTCTCTCTCCAGTGTCATTGAGCCTAGTTTCTAAAGAAATTTGGTTTGAATTTGTTGAAAATATGAAGTATAAAACATCTAAATGGCGAGATCCAGTTGGTAGTTGGACTTCTGAGAGAGGAATTCAAGAGAAAGTTCTGGGTAATAAATATAGATGAAGGTGTCATTTAAGAACAGGTGGAGATTTAAGCCTTGGATCTAAGTCACTTTCCCTGGGGAGAACAAGAGGAGCCCTGAAGAGCAGGCCACAGAGACTGTCCAGGAAGGATACCAGTCCAAAGGCAAGGAGAGGAGGAGGGGCCTGTAGAGAAGCCTCACTCATTCGGATGGTGATGCTACCTCTGTGCCCAAGCACTGTGCTAGGCCCCAGGGCTGGGACAGACACAGCACTCAGAGTTGACAGTGAGAGAGACACAGCACTGCGCTCAAAATCTTAAGAAAGGTGCATGATGCATACCAAAGATGCAGAGAAGATTCACAGAAGACTTCATGGAGAAGGGGATGCTTGGGTTAAATCTTGAGAGAGGATACATATTTGTTAAGGAATAGGTGAGGGGTCAGACCACCCCCCACCCCCAGAAAAAAAACAGCTGAACCCAGGCATGGAAGTATGAGACAGTGGTCTGAAATTAGCATTCCAGAGCTAGAGTGGGGAGCAGGCATGGGAAAGCTGGGGCTGAAGAAGTAGGCGGGCCCTGAATGCCAGCTGGGAAGCTCAGCTTCCATCCTGTGCAGTGATGAACCACCAAGGCCCCGAAAAACGTGGTCAGTTGCCTTTCGTCACGATCACTCTGTTGACAATACCAAGAGTAGACTGGAGCCAGAGAGATTGAAGGCCAGGAGGAAATGGGAGATGGACTGGAAAGGACCTTGGACGTTGTGGATATGAGGGAGCAGTCTAGGATGATTGCCAGATTTCTGACTTAGGTGATTTGGTAGAAGGCACTGGGAGTTTGGGAGAAGCGGGGATAAGACAGTAAATTCAGATTTGGGCATAATGCATCCCTGTATCTGGAGAGAGGTCCATCAGGTCATGGCTTCCAGTATCTGGTGCCCAGGAAGAAGGTGTGGGAAACAAAGTAGCTGGAATGGCATGAAGTCTGCTGGGGTGCACATGGAGGGAAACTGTGTGTGTGTGTGTGTGTGTGTGTGTGTGTGTGTGTGTGTGGTGGAATGGAACAATTCATGGGGAACCCACTGGTCCATGGACTGGGTCTTTCTGCTCTTTGATGACCCCAAACAGGGAACAGAGTAGCTGGAATGGCATGAAATCTGCTGGGGTGCACGTGGAGGGAAACTCTGTGTGTGTGTGTGTGTGTGTGTGTGTGTGTGGTGGAATGGAACAATTCATGGGGAACCCACTGGTCCATGGACTGGGTCTTTCTGATCTTTGATGACCCCAAACAGGGAACAGGCTAGAAGGTAGGAGAGACAAGAGGGCAGAGTCTCAGAACCCCCAATAGGAAAGAACACCGGGGAGACAGGCCGTATCGAGTAGGCACCATGGCGCAGCAGAGAGGAAGGACACCTGTGGAAGGTCTGCAGGGGAGCCCCCAGATATTGGTGATCTTGCTGGAGAGGGGCTGTTTCTGGGAATGAGGGATTCTGTGGGGACAGTGGTGGAGGGATTAGTGGGCAAAACTGTGGTCAAGAGGTGGCCACAGTGGGTGTGGGCACCCATGTGCTTCCAAGAAGCGTGATAGTAAAGGGGAGGGGTGAGGGGGTTGTAGGATCAAGGGAGGCCTTTGTTAAGACTCTGGGGTGTTTGTGGACTCTGAGGAAGGAGCAGTGGAAAGGCAGAGATTTGGGGATTCTCAGAGGAGAGGGTGGGGACAGGCTCAGTAGGCCAGGAGAAGGAGTCTCCTTGAACCCAAGAGCAGAATAGGGAAGGAGGTTCTGATGGGTCCTGCCAAGGATGGGCTGGTGGATGTGAACAGGGAAGAAAGAGGGCCTTCCCACCTAAGAGCATTGGTTTCTATTTGAAACATATCTGAGAAGGCTGGAGTGAGGGGAGGGAGCTGCAGTAGCATCGGGGGCTTGGAAAGAAGACAAGGGGAGTGAGAAGAGAGGGGCTGTGAGGAGAGGGGAGCCAGTGCAGACAGGAAGGGAGGCTGTGGCTTCCTCGGACAGCACGTACCGAGAGGAGGCCATGGTCTCATCATCCCTGGCTGGGCAGAGGACCCAGAGAGCAGGTGCACCCACATGATGGGCAGGGCCACGGGGACCCTGATGAGAGGTCATCAGTCAGGGAGGCTTCTTGGAGTCCAGCAAAGAAGGAGGGTGCAGAAGAAGCCAAGTGGGCAGTCAGGCCCCAGGGATGAAGGTGAGACTGGAACAGGAGTGAGGGAAGGAAGAAGAGGAGGAGGCCAGGGTCAGAGTTTGGGATCCAGAGCCTACCATTTTAGCACTGGAGCTTCTCCAGTGAACCCTGAGCTCCAGATAGAGCACTGACAAAGAGCCGTTCGGTGACTCTGCAAAGCCCTACTCCACCGCCAGGACTGGGAGCCCTGAGAAGCCAGGCCACAGATACCTGGGCTTCTAGGGCTGACACCACCATGTCCCAGAGAACAATCTCTGGAGCCCTATTGACAGGACCCATCTCCCAGGGTGCAGCCGGTTGAGGAGGTGGTGCCCCAGCTAGTAGATGCTGTGGAAGATTCTGGCTCACCAAGGCCAAGCCGTATGGCTCCAGGTCAGGCTAGGATGCTCAACTTGGTAACTTCTTAATCTCCCTCACCTGCCCCCACTTATTTCCACTTTTTCTCAAATAAGAAGACAGACAAAGGCAGGGCCTGATGTACACCTGGGCTCTGTCCATACCTGGGACTGGGGCGGGGGTGCTGCCACCACGCTGGTCACTGTGAAGATCTCAGGACAGCTCCTGCCCCCTGCTGCCTTCTCGTGCCTGAGGTGTCTATAAAAGCCTCTAGAAATGAGACCCAAAGTCTGATTCCTCTCTGGAGACCAAAGCCCCTGGGCACCAGGACATATGCTTCCTCAAAGTCCTTCCGGAAAACAGGCATGCTAACTTTGGATCCCTGTGCTGGCAGACAGGAGAGTCATGCTTCTCTCAGATGGCTTTCCAAGTCTGCACACAGGCCTGCTGCCTCAGCTCAGGACTTCAGTAGTTACAACAGAGTCCTGGCCTTTCACAGTCAAGGAACACGTATTGCTTTTAGCAGGTTTAGGGCATTTTTCCAAGTGAGTCCGCATTTACTCTTAAGATGCCAGCATAGAAGGGAGGAGACCAGGGGGCTAGTTGGCCCCTCTGCTGAGGCAGCTGAAGCTGGAGCAGGTACCCATGTTATACTCCCTTGGGGCTTTACAAGCATCTTCCCAGGGCCTGGGGAGGGGGACTTTCCTACACTGGGGTAAAGACCAGAACCCAGAAGGCTGTCCACAGAGGGTAAATATCCCCAACAGGCTGCTCCTGGACTTCTGTATCTGAGTCCCAGGTAGACCACCTGGGTGATGGCTTAGAGGCCGTCTTCTTCCCACCAGGAAAAACTATGGGGAGTAGGGAGGTGGCCTCAAAACTCACCCGGCCCCATAGTTGGAAGTCCTTTAGGCCAGGCCCTGCTCCTTCACTAGGTAGCTCCTGGGGCCACCTGCCAGCCCTGCACTTGGACCCTGGGCTGTTGGTTTACCTTGTGTATAGGAAGGCAGTGGGAGAGGGAGGAACACTGCTGGCAGCCAAGGCTCAGGAAGATAGGGAAAGAAGGAAGACTGAAGGCGGCTGGAGCTGGGGGCTGCGGGGTGCCATGTGACTGGTGGGGGCAGGTGCTGCCTGGCAACCAGCACTGCTCTATACTCCCCCCACCAGAGTTCATTCTACTCATTATGAGATTGGCTCATCTAGCACTGCAGGGCTTTGAAATGGCTGGAGGCATGCTTTACCGTTCCTTTCTTAAAACTATTCTCCCTGACCTTTTCAGTACCCTCCCCAACCTCACACACTGGCATCTTCGCCAGCTCTCCTCAAATCTGAGAGAGGGACCCAGGTCTCTGGCGTCCCCACTCCCCACAGTCTCCTGGTGTCCATGGGGGGATCTATGGGCAGAGCTCCTCTCACCCGTATTGACCATGGGGTCTGAGAACGTGGTTTGACTCCCTGATTCCCGTGAAATTGGTGGGAGCTGGTCTCCCTCTTACCACAGGCTCGTTCCCAGGACGACAGCCCTCGGGGGCTGCTGCTTCTCTGGGGCAGAAGCCAGGTGGGGTCTCCACACCTGGGAATGAGTTCCACCTGTCTTCCTGGAAGAATCCCATTGATAAACATCTTGCAGGGAGCACATATTATGCATCATTTTGAGCTTTCTGGTTCCCTTTTGATGATTTTCTGTGGGGGACAAGCAGGGAATGTCAGCTTGTTCTTCTGTTCTTCCTGTTACTCACTGGACAGGTTTGGGGGGGAGCTTGCTTGTGAAAACAAGAATCTATGAGTATCACTTGCCTGCATCCTGGGCCTTGGTGGGGGTAGAGAAATGGGGCTAGGGTTTCAGAAGCCAAGCCCTCTTCTCCCTCCCCGACAGACCAGTTCCACACATTCCTGTACTTTTTGTCCTTTGGCTCCCTCTATCACAAGATCAGGCAAGGTTCTCTGAAAACAACTCTTACTGGCGGTTCCTCACACTCCTAAACAAGCCAACCTTTCCCCACAACTAGCCCTGAGCTTGCGTCCCCGCCCCACCGGACTCCAGCTCCGTGCTCCCCAAGCTCCGTCCCCAGTTCCTCTCCAGTTGGGCCAACTTCCTCCCTGCCTCTGAAATTTGTTCTCTGAGTTCCTGTCTAGAGAAATAGTACACTTCTCCCTCCTCACCTGCAGGAATAAGACAGACCCTCCAGAGATAAGACCAGGGATCACAAGCGCATCTGGAATCTCCAGCCTAAAGGGCATTCACGTGTGCGCATACACACGCATTCACACACCACACTCACATGCGTAGGCACATTTTTCACTTACACACAAGAGCCGGTTTTGCAAACATTCCTGTGGCCGAGACACTGAGGCCACCAGAGTACCTTGGCCTCACTGCCTGCCCCAGATCTCTGGCATCTGGGCCACAGGGCGTTGTGGTGAGCAACACCTGCCGTTGCTTCTTCCCGCCCTCAGCTGCTCTCAGGGCTATTTATATGCTCTTGAGAAAGTGGGGGAGGCTGATTGCTTAGCTAACGCTTAGCTGAGGCCCTGGATTTGGAGTCCGTGGGTCTCAAGGCCACCTTCTGAAAGTCCCCAAAGTTGGGGTCCAGAATGCTTTGTCCTCCTGCTCCCAGGGACCTTTGCTGGCTCTCCTCCAGGCCGTCCCCCAGACCTCCTGTACCTAGCATGCCAAGTCCCCACTCTGGCCCAGCCTCTCCATAGGCACTCAGCCCCGGCCATCACTAACTTTCTGTCCTCCCCTTGTATTCCTCCCCCTTGAGCCCCAGTATGACCCGTCCTCCCTGCTCCCACTTCCCATCAGCACCGCCTCAGGCACATGACACCACAGTGGGTCCCCATTGTTGAAGGGCCCTTCCCTGACCTTCCCTTAAACTCTGGCCAGCAAATTGCCACCAGACCCAATGGCTGGCACACTGTGAAGCCAGAGGGCTAACCCCAGGCCCGCTGCTGCCCCGTAGGCCAGCGTGCAGTACAACATCCCTGTGTCATCTGCCTCCCTTCCGGTCATCAAGAGCCTGGGTCTCAGGGGCGTCACCTGCATCAGCCTGACCAACCTGGATGGCTCTCCGGCTTCACTCCAGGTGCTGCAGTCTGTTACCCACCACCTGGGCCCACACCTGCAGAGCTTGTGCCTTGGTGGGGGCAGCCCCACAGAGGCCTCCTTCATGGCTCTGATCCTGGGCTGCCCGGCCCTGCGTATCCTAGACCTCAGTGGCTGCAACAGCCTCTTCACGTCGGGCATGCTACTGGCTCAGCCTGAGACGGCGCAGCAGGTCCAGCAGGCGCTGAGTGGCCTCCGTGAGCTCAGCCTGGCTAGCCTTCGGGACCTGGCCGACCTCAGCTTCAACCGGCTCAGCAGTTGTGCCCCCTGCCTGGAGCGCCTCTCCTTGGCCTATTGCCACCTCACCTTCCAGCTAGGCCCATCCTGGGGCTCCATTGACCCCCAGGACTCCTCCCGCTCTCAACTCTCCTTCCGTAACCTGCTGCGATTCCTGAAGGAGCGGGCCGGCAGGCTGCACACCCTGGACCTGAGCGGCACTGGCTTGCCGCCCGAGGCCCTGCAGGCGCTGGGCCAGGTGGCCGGGCTGCAGCTGCAGAACCTGAGCCTGCATAGCTGCCGGGACCTCTCCACAGAGGCCGTGGCCGCCCTTTGCCACCAGCAACCAGGCCTTACCTCCCTGGATCTCAGTGGCTGCTCAGAACTGACTGATGGAGCAGTCCTGGCCGTGAGCCGGGGCCTGCGGCACCTGCGGCGCCTGAGCCTGAGGAAGCTGCAGCGGCTGACAGACGCAGGATGCTCGGCCCTGGGGGGCCTGCGGGAACTGCAGAGCCTCGACATGGCTGAGTGCTGCCTGGTGAGAGGGCGGGAGCTGGCCCAGTCCCTGGGCTCGGTGTGTGGACCTCCACCCCCACTGGCCTCCCTCAGCCTGGCCTACTGCTCCTCACTCAAGGTGAGCGTTCCACCCCCTTCCTTCCTTCCTCACCAGGGCCAGGGATTGGGGGAACTGGGAGCCTGGCACCAGGGAGGTGCCCCGTGTTTGTGTCCAAGTCAGCTGGAAGTGGAAAGGTGCCTAGGCAGACGGTGCTGCTGCCCACACTCCTCCCTGCCGCCCCCGTGGTGGGTCCATGCAGAGGGAGGTCCCGGAGACCAGAGGGGCCCAGCCCACGAGGTGACCCACACCTCACAAGTCCGGTGCTTGGTGATCATTGCAGTCTGGGGAGGGGACTGAGGGTGGGTATTCTGGGGGCAGGGGTGACAGAACCAGGCCCTGGGGAAAGGGGCCCCGAGGTCACATAGCAGTAGTTGCTCAGGAGGGGCCCTGGGGAGGCCATGTGACAAGGGAGGAAGAGGGTCACTTTTGGCTGACGCCGGTCCCTTCAGTAGGGCTCAGCCCTGTCCCTCTGGGTGGTGGTCCTGTCTTAGCAGTGTCGCTCCCTCCCTCTTTAGCAGGTTATTCCTTCAATCTGCAACTGTGCCCAGAGCATTCTTCACCTGAAAAGCATTCAACGTTTCCCCCCAAGTGCCTCTCTTGCCCTACTTCATCCTCACTGTGTCGATCGTGTGTCTCTTAAGCACTCTCTCTAGAGGCCCATGTTCCCATGTCTGCATCTCTACAAAGCAGCTTCCTCTGTCCTGCCCTTAGTTCTTACCCCCCCCCCATCCCCCAACCACTCCTGGCAGGTGGCAGCTCTGCTGTATGTCCTCCCAGTCCTAGAGGGAGTGTACCTGGTTGACTGGTGCTGGGACCACAGAGAGGGTGAACGCCTTAGAGATTTTCACCTACATCCTTCCCACACCAGCCAGTCTAGGTATTTGTCCTTCTCCCTGTGTTCCCCCTTCTCAGCCCATCACATCCACTGTGACACACAGCGCAGGAACACTGATGCACCCTTCCGTGGGCCCTGTGACAGTTTCCTGTTGCCTGTGGGGCTGTAACTTTGGGCAGAACCTTCCTGGGACCCCTCCCTGCCTGAGCAGCAAGAGCTTCCTCCCACAGCCCCACCAAGAGCTGGAGCACTGGGCCTCCAGCCCCAAGGACCCCTCTTCCTAGCCACAGGGCCTGCTCATGCTCCAGGCCCCGTGGGAGCTGGACCTCATAGCCTGCCACACCTGGTGGCACAGGCAGCGGGCACCTCCCCATCACCTGCTCCCTTTTCCACTTCCCTCGTAGGATGCCTCGGTGCTCTCCCTGATCCCAGCGCTGGGCCCACGCCTCAGGGTGCTAGACTTGTCCTCCTGTGTGGCCCTCACCAACCAGACCCTGCAGGCCATCTGCACCTACCTCACCCACCTCTCAGTCCTACGCCTGGCCTGGTGCAAGGAGCTTGGTGACTGGGGGCTCCTGGGGCTGGGGGAGCCCATCAAGGCACCTTCGCAGGAGCCTCAGGTGTGAGACCCTCGAAGTCATGGTGGGCTGGGGGTACCTGGGCTCAGCTGCCGTCCTTCGTCCCTGTCCGGCAACAGTTGAGGGCCAAACTCAGGAGGAACCTGAGCAGCAGGAGCTTCCTCCCGCAGCCCCACGAAGAGCTGGAGCACTGGGCCTCCAGCCCCAAGGACCTCTTTCCCCAGCCACAGGGCCCCTCCCTGCTCATGCTGCAGGCCCTGCGGGAGCTAGACCTCACAGCCTGCAGCAAGCTGACTGATGCCAGTTTGACCAAGGTGTGAGGCTGGGGGCGTGGATAGGCCTGGGACTGGAGCTTTTTGCTTGAAACAAGCGTTTTTCTCATGGGCTTCTGCTGGATGTGGCATTTCCTCTGGCTGGGGGTGGGGGAAGCTGGAAGGGCTCCAGGGCCTCGTTACCCTCCCCATCCCTACTGCATCCTCGCAGGTGCTCCGGTTCCCCCAGCTGAGGCAGCTGTCACTGAGCCTGCTGCCAGCACTCACAGACAAGGCCTTGGTGGCTGTGGCCAAGGGCTGCCCCAGCCTGGAGCGCTTGGCGCTGAGTCACTGCAGCCTCCTCAGCGACCACGGCTGGGCGCAGGCGGCCAGCTCCTGGCCGAGGATGCAGCACCTCAACCTGTCCAGCTGCAGTCAGCTCACGGAGCAGTTGAGTGTATCGGGGGCTGCCTGCGGTGGGGGCTGGCTGGGCCTGGGCCGGGTCAGGTGCTCACCCGGCGGCTTCCCTGCAGAACTCTGGATTCCATCGGGCAGGCGTGCAGGCAGCTGCGGATGGTAGATGTGGCCATGTGCCCCGGCATCAGCATAGCCTCCGTCAGGCGCTTCCAAGCCCGACTGCCTGAGGTGACCTGCATCCAGTCCCGCTTCGTGGGAGGGGCAGACCTGACCCTAACACTCTGAGGCCAGATCAGTGACCAGTGGCTCAGCCTCTGTCATCTCCAGCATCCCTGGTCCTGGCCTCTGGACCTGGAGTTTGACTCAGCTCCCTCTGCCCCTCTCTGTTACATGCCCCAGAGGGCCTTCCCCAAACTAGAAACCCCTTCACTGGGTCTGAGAGTGGGATGATACCAGGACAGCCTACCAGGCTTCTTGCCTGCCTGCCCCACAGCCCACAGGAACCTTCTCCAGCTACATGGCACTGCCACAGGCCCCCGGAAATGCCAGATCCTGCTCGCCTGTCCAGGCCTGGGTCCAGAGGCCAGGCCATTGGTGGGCTGGGTCTGATGCTGGAAAGAGTGGACCCTGGCACCTTTTGTTCCACCCACTTCTCACACTGAGGCCTGTGCTCAGCCTTGTTCCCTATAGCTCTCCCAGCCCCCCACCAGCACTGAGTTTTAGCAGCTAAGCCACAGTCTTTGTTGTATACCCAAGATTAAAAATTCCAGATCTTTCTTCCTTGTCTGAAGTTCTCAGACCAAAGGGCCCCTCCCCACCTCAGTGAAGCGGCCCAGCCCAGCCCAGCCCAGGGACAATGTGTAGGAAATGCCAGAGGGACAGACAGCTTCTTTCTCACACCTGGCCCAACAGGTGCCCCGAGCAGGTCCTAGCTTCTTCCCCACATGGTGGGAGATGCCAGAGGCTTCTCCCGAGCATGAGCCCTGGCACATGTCCCACAGCAAAGCCATGTCCATGTGAAGATCCCAGGAGCATAGAGAGTAAGGATGGTTGAGTCAATGGGGTTTTTCAGTACTTACACATAAGACACAAGAGAGAGCATCTCTGGGTAGGAAAGGTCATTAGAGGTCCAACCTTCTAAAACAGAAAGAAGCTCCTGGGTCTAGGAGCCCAGGGGAGCATGAGCTTAGCCTGAAAAGTCAAAGAAAGTGAAAGAAATCAAGTCAGTGAAAGAAGAGGGAGGAAAGGGGACAAACAGGCAGAAGGGACCTGGGGAGGTGCACGTGGGCAGGCCAGAGTTGGGGCTGGGTAGGGGGTTCCCAGCTCCCAAAGTGAGCAGGGAGGATGCCAGCTTGAATCAAGCATCAAGAGCTCTGTAAGCTACGGGCACTCTGTTGAAAGGGGTAAACCATGGCATGTCTGCATCCCAGCTCAGTTCTGTTCAGTCATGGTACCATGACTGTTATCCACAGACAACAGGGAGACACGGGAGAAACAGGAGGGGGTGATGTGTGTGTGTAATCAGGTCAGTTTCCTGTTTGAGAAAGCAGTTGGAGTAGGTGGTATTGAGAATACTGGAGGGCAAGGCAGGAAGCAGGAAGTCAGGAGGTTCTTGCTAAGATGATGGTGGCCTGTACAAGCGACTGGAGACATTGAAAAAGAACTGAAGGTATCAGGAGATGTAACTGCATCTGGGTGATACATTTTTCACCTTGAACTCAACAGGGACTATTCTAAGTGGGATGGGAAGTCTGAATACAGGAGTGGGCACGTGGGGCCCTAGATGCCCAAGTAAGAAGCATAGCTAGGGGGTGGGAAGCAAGTACTCCCCCGGAACATTCTTCAAGGGAGGTGCCATACCATCAGTTTCTAGGCAACGTGGTGATGGTTAACACTTAAAGATATTTTGAGGAGGCACTGGGAAGGAGAGGTAGTGAGAGGCATGAAGATCAGAGGGTGATGGCTAGCAGCTTCCAGCCTGTCTGTGGGTCCTGGGGGTGGGTGTGCTCCTCTCTGCCTCAGAGGCTTGGGGTCCATGACCACAGCCTCTGAGCTTCGCCTCCAGCTGGCCTATCTGTGGCTCCCACCCCACCCATGCTGCTGCAGATGAGTTTTAATCAGAACGCAGGCTTCTTGCACTGAATTCCATCTTGTCGGAATCAGCCTACATCCTCCCACTGGCCTGGCGGACACCTACGGGAACCCTGAGTTTGCCCTTCAGCACAAAGCATGCCCAACTTCATGTCTTTCCCTTCAAGTCTCTCGAAAGCAGGCCTTTGGGACCCACAGAGGACACAGGAAGGGCCAGGCAGGGTGGAGAGCTAAGCTCAAACTGTCTGGAGCCTTCTGGAAATATGGCTCCCAAACTAGGCCCCTGCTAAAATTGGGGAAATACTTCCTACCCTGCCATCTCTCCCTCATCTGGCTGGCTTCCCCAGACCTCTCTCAGCTGGCGGCCCCCCAGACTACAGCCCATTCTGCTCTGCAGGGCTAGCAGAGGGTGGGCTGAAGACTCACTCTGGAGAAGGGTAACAGGGCCAGCCGGTCCTCACCCTCCTTCAGAACACCAGCCCCGTAACTGGAGTTGCCCAGGTTCATGGCCCCAAGCTGTGGCCCTGGCCTGACACCCCCTTTCACTTGCCAGCCAAGGTGGAAGGCAGGCTTAGCCTATGAGGTTCAGAGCTGGCTCGACACACATCTAAGAGCCAAGCAGACTTTTATTTCTGCTGCAGCCTCTGCTGGTCAAGGTGCCTGTGCTTCCCCCCCTCCACCCTTTGTGGCCACCATGACGGCAGCAGCTGTGGCCCTTGGCCACCTTCACTGTCAAGGTTCGGCAATGCTGCAGTCATAGCAGAAGTTGAAGTTGGTGGGGGGCGGGGGCACAGGGGGTGGCTGTTCAGGGATGGGCACATTCTCCAGCTCCAGCAGCCGCAGCTTGGTCTCCATGGTTAGCAGCTGCTCCAGGTCCAGCCGTGTCTGCTCACTCCCCATGGGATTGCCCAGCAGGGCGCTCAGCCCATCTGTCCACAGGTGGAACTGTGGATGGGGCCAGCTCCATGAGGTCCTCTCCATCTCTCCCCCTGCCCGTCTGTCCCCCTGCCCATCTGCTCAGGCTGCCCAGATACTCACCTCCCGTTTGGATGGGGCAATGAAGTTGAGGTATGCCTCCTCCTCCCCGTGGTCATAGCTGACTGAGAAAGCTAACTCACAGATGTCCTGGAGAAGCAAGGGAGCCAGGAGCACTGAGCAGGGGCCAGTGGGAAGTAGCCCTGGCGCCCACTGCACTCACCTTGTTCTGCTTCCCAGAGCCCTTCTCCCGGACGTGGGGGCAGTCCTTGCCTGTCAGCAGTGCCCTGATGTCGGCCACAGGAACTGCAGGAAAAAGGCTGGGTTGACCACTGGGACCCCTGGCGGCCCGGAGTGGAGCAGCTCGGGGGAGCACAAGTGTCTGCCCACCCCCACGCCCTCCTCACGCTGCTCGGGCAGGCTCTCGGGGGTTGGTGGGCCTACTCCCTCCTCCACGTCCCCATACTGCAGCACTTTGTGGTTGGGGGACAGGCAGCAGAACCACAGCTTGTCTGTGGGTGGAAAGGGGGAGGGGGAGGAATGAGAGGGCCTCCCCAACCCTTCCCAGCTGCCCTCCAGCCCCACCACCGCCCACACAGTGACCCTGGCGCCTCCGGCTGCTGATCTTGTGGAAGAGCGTCCCCTCGCAGAGGCGGAGCAGACGCTGCTGGCGGATCAGGCCCAGGAGCTCCGGCTTCAGCTTCTCCCGAAGCTCCCTGGGTGCAGGGGAGGGGGCTCACTAAGCCGGACGGCCGGGCCTGGGCGAGGCAGCAGGGCAGGTGGGGGCCAGGCCTGGGACCCACCCCCATGACTCACAGAATCGGGGGGGCCAGCGTGCCTTCCTGGTGCAGCCTCTCAGTCTGCCGCAGCCGCAGCACCTCCCCGTAGGTGAGTGCATTCACCTTTGTTCGGAAGAGCTCCAGAGAGCTGGGCTTCAGGGCCAGCGTGCGGGCCAGCTGCTCCCGCACCACTTGCATGACCTGGGGCCATCCCAAGCTGAGCTCGGCTTGAGTTCCAGGCCCCAACCCCAGAACCACCTCTGCCCTGGCCCGGGTCTCCCCACTGCTGCCCTCCGCACCTTGTCGAAGTCCTCCTGAGTGGCCCGCATCTCCTTCCAGGTCTTATTCAGCAGTTGGATGCTCACACAGAAGAGCTCATGGAAGCTCTGGTCTTGGCCAAAGAACATGGGTGAAAAGTCCTGGGCTGTTTCGGAACCTGGAGTGGGGGGGCAGGAGGGGCTCAGGGAGATAGTGTGTGCTGCCCCTGGCCCTCTCTGCCCTTCCGTCCCCCGTTCCTGAACACGCTGTGCCCAGCGCCACTCACAGGGCTCCCCGACATGGAGCAGATCACACAGCAGCACGGTCAGCTGGATGCTGCTCCGTGCAAAGGGGCACTCGTGCTTGTCCTCACGGCTGCTGTTCTCTAGCACAAACTGAGGAGGCGGGAGCACAGGATGGGCTGGGGAGTCATGACTAAGCCCCAGGAGGCCCCACCTAGGCGCCCTGTACCCCATTCATTCATACCCCACCCCGCCCCACCACTGACCCGGCTGTAGGCGCTGGGTGCCTGTCTGGAGAAGTAGAGCATGTTGTCCAGGGCCAGCAGGCCAGGGGGCACGCGCTCCAAGTCCTGTGCGGGGTTGCTGTTCTGGGGGGGGGGGGAAGGGGAGAGGCAGTTGAGGAAGGTCCCAGCCCTCTGGAGCAGTAGCAGTAGCCCTGGGTGGAGGCAGGGGGCAGAGGGCTGGGTAGGGGTCACTCACAGAGAAGCCCAGTTTGCGGAACTCTCGGGCACACAGGGAACGGCGACGGTCAGCGCTCAGCCCGGTGCCCACGGGCTCCCCCTCCGGCTCAAAGGCAGCTTGGCGCAGGGCCTGCAGCTGCTCCCGCTGCTCCTGGGGTCATTGTTGGGAGTGGTGGCAAAATTGAAGATTCAAGGCCAAACTCGGGCCAGCCCCAGCCTTCTGCACGCTCAAGGCACCTACCTGACTGTAGGGGTCCAGTGGTGTCCGCATGCGTGGCTCCAGCAGCCCCAGCATCAGGGCCTGCAGTACGTACAGGTGGTGAGCCATCTCGTCACCCAATGGCGCTGCACTGTGGATGATGTTCTGAAGGACAGCCAGTCCACGGCTGTGAGTGTGGGCTTGCAAGGAGAGGAGTGGGGAGGGGTCTGTCAGGTCTGGTCCTTCCTACCTTGTAGATGAACTGGCGAAGGTTTCTCTGCCACAGGTAGTCGAGCATGTGCTGGTGGGTGGGAAGGGGGCTTGAGTGATTTAGCCCCACCACGAGCACCCATCTTTTTGGCCCACTGCTGAGTACAGCACCCACCAGCTCCTGCACACCCCATCCAGTCACTGGATGGATGCCCACCTTACGTTCTGCAGGGGTGGCTCCCTGTAGCAAAGCTGTCAGCAGAGCCATGGCCTTGGTTTGCAGCTGCTGGTTCATCCTGGGTCAAAAAGAGGGCTCAGCCGGCCATCCAGGGCCCAGTCCTGCTGTCCTCCCTGGTCCCCCACCTTCAGACACTTACACCTGTAGGTGCACCAGCAGCCTGTCTAGTGGCACCTCGCTCTTGACCAGTTGGCCCAGGGTAGGGCTGCTCAAGGTCACATTCTCCAGCAAGCCCAGGGCCAAGGGCTGCACAGAGGCATCCATCAGGTTCATGTTCACGTAGCACACCACCTTTGGCAGAGCAGAGGTTGTCACCACCTCAT